AATATTACTCATTTTCTAGCAACTGCACTGTTTAAGTAATTATTGTTGTCATTCATTTCCCGAAGAAATTGCTAATTTTCCTGTGCTAACAGGGAACTATTGCCAATGCTCAGAACATAAGATCCTTAATTTTAACATTAAAATTATAACAGTTTATTGCTAATCAGGGGGATAAAATGGGATATTTAAGATCACTGTGTGTCTTTTGACTAAATGTTAGCAAATTCCATTGGTAATAACTATTTTTGAAGTACTCTATGATTATTAAAATTAATAAATGCCGAATGAATTTGAATTCTCTATGATTATTAAAACTAATAATATTTAGCTGTACACTGGTGTGCAAAAATTAAGGACGAGACGGTTTTTTCAATATAACTTTGTACAAAAGCTTTCCAAATCAACACATTTAATACCGTAAGATCCCCAATACGTAAGGACATGAGTAATGTAAGCAACACTTACTAAAAGAGAAATCAGAGGGATAAAAAGAAGCTTTATTGAAAAGTAGCATGGAGGGCAAAGCGACTGAAGGCCGAAACATCCCTGTGATGGGTGTCCAGCAAGAAATCCGCCGTCTTTAATAGGGGTTATGATCTCCCCTGACTGCTAGGCAGTTTTCACAGCGTTGCCCATGCTGCGAATAAGGGTGTCAAGAGTTGTTGAGGCATTGCTGCCCATTCGTCTTGCAGCGCCAATCGAAGCTCCGGAATCGTTACTGGTGGTAAGGTACGAGCTGCCAAGCGTCTGCCTAGAAAATCCCATACATGCTCGATGGGATTGAGATCCGGAGATCGTGCCGGCCAATCCATACGTTCAATATCCTCAACTTGCATACGTTCAATATTCAACTTGCGGTTTTCATGTCTCGAAAGCGAGACTTAGGCTATGTATTAGATTTATATATAGCATTGTTTTAATATAGGTAGTGTGAAACAAAATAGGACTTATAGCCTGCTATAAGAGCTGTTCGGCAGCTACTGTGCGATGACATGGTGCATTGTCGTCCATGAAAAGGAACTGCGGACCCATAGCGCCTCTAAAAAGACGCACATAATTAAGAAGAATCTCGTTACAATAACGGGTCCCTTTGACTGAACCTGCGTCGAAGATGTGAAGGTCTGTACAACTACCAAGCATGATGCCTCTCCAAACGAGAACAACGCCACCTCCATACCTGTCCCTTTCATTGATGTTCGAGGGATGATTGCGGCTTCCCCGCTCTCTCCAGATGAGTATGCGATGAGAATCGCTACCTCATCTGTAAAGAGTACTCGTCCCCATTCATTGTCTCTCCAATTCCAGTGTTCCCGGCACCAAAGAGAACGCCTTCTCCGATGGGCAAGCGTTAGAGGTACACACCGTACAGGGCGTCGTGTAAACAGTCCACCACCGTGCAGTCTTCTGGCCACGGTAAAACGCGATATCGGTCGTTCAGTCGCCTATGTCGTGTGTCTAGCGATTTCTTCCGCTGTCTGCCGCCTGTTTCTTCTGGCCTGTAAGGCAATATACCGGTCATCTGCGGGTGTGGTTCCTCGTGGATGACCACTACTAAACCCCCGGGTAGCTGTTCCTATAGCTTGAAATTGTTTCCAAAGTCGTGAAACGATGCTGTGAGCAATTCCAAACTCTGCAGCCACACGTGTCACACTGCGGCCTTCCTCCAACTTCCCAATGATTCGACCTCGGGTAAAAGCATCCAGATGTCGTCTAACAGATTGATTATTCGCCATTCTCGCTGAGGCATCAACTCGGTGTGGTTTTAACTGCTATACGGCGTGCAATCTCTTTGCCAGAAATACTGATCTTACACCGACAACATGCTTTATACTACTCAGACACTCCCCCATTACATCTACCTGCATATCTGCGCATGTGCTACCGTACATCACCTTACTTAATGTCCTGATTGGTCTTTCTGTCCGCTCTGCCTCTTCGTTCAGCTGATATTATAATTTTTCGACTTCGTCCTTAATTTTTGCACACCAGTGTATATTTGACGATGAATGTAGGACTCTCTTTTAATTCTCCAATCTTAGACTCATTGTCTGCATCAAAAATGAAACTTAACGATAAGGCAAATACTGTGTAACAATATGTATAACTATTATTGTTTTTATACATCTGTTATTCCTTAAATGTTAAAAAAGCAGGGATTTTATTAGATGGCATCAGTGAATTTGATCCTTATTTGAATAGAGAAATAAAAAAGTGGGATTATTACTTCCTTGTACGAAAAATAGAAAGTGCTATAATCGCGAAAATTTCCGGGTATCATATTTCAACGGAAATATTAATTTTGATCGTTCCCGAATCCATTTGGACGATTGATTCGAGTGACGTCTATAGCTATGGATAGAGTAAAGGATTCTTTTTTCTAAAACTATTTGAAAAATACATTTAAAATCTATTGAAAAGGGATTTTTTGTGACGTATGTACCTACGAAGGTACACATGTATGTATGTACACTGCCCCCCCCTCCAAAAATGGGACAGTTCTATATCTCGCGTTCTACTGGGCCGATTAACAAAATTCAACTTGCGGTTTTCATGTCTCGAAAGCGAGACTTAGGCTATGTATTAGATTTATATATAGCATTGTTTTAATATAGGTAGTGTGAGACAAAATAGGACTTTTTTCTGAAATGGCAGGCCAATGTTTTTCCATATTTCCATTCTACAACTCAAATTATTCCAATCCGCCAAATTTTGTAAAAATCGCACGATTGGTTTTTAAAAAATTAGATCTCGAAATTTTATCTCCTGCTTTTTAATTGAATTTTGTTTATTAATATCTCTTTTTTATTAAACTTATTATTCTTCCTTTCACATTTTGAAATTTAGGTTCATTCCAAATAAAATTCACCTATTTTTATGATTTATTTTAAGAATTTATATTTTTAAATAAGTTTTATAAATATTTCCAAAAACAATTTTGAGCAATAACCTATAAATTTTTTACCATCATCTTAAAATAGATAAATATCTAAGCATACCGCCAAAAAAGTCTACTTTTTTATTCAAAATTTCTTAAGATATACGGGAATTTACATTTTGGCTTGTTTTGAAGTTTGGTATGTTCGTTATAAGCTATAATAACTCCAAATGTAGTTTATGTATTTTGTTAAAATTATTTGAAAGTATGAACGATGACCATTTTTTCATTCGTGTACAATAAAAAGAAGGAAAGAAAAATAGATTTCCATAAATTAAAAATTTCACTGAAAAAAATGCGCCAAAATAAATTTTTAAATTTCTCCATAAATTTCTCACCAAAAATTAAAAAATTTAATATCTAGGTATAATTCGAGTCGTAGAAGTGAAATATAGAAAAAAATTGATATGGTATTTCAGGTATTGGTATGTAACAGGTAATGTTATAATTTATGTTATATTATATGTTTAATGTTATGTTGTTAACATTAAAGATTAATGCTATATGTAAATTTAATATATATCCCAAGTCGCGCTTTCGAGGAATGAAAAACGCAATTTGAATTTCGTTAATCGGTCCAGTGGAGCGGAGGATATAGGACTGTCCCATTTTTTTTCGAAGTCTGTCTGACATAACTTAAAAACGATTAGCCATAGAATGTTTAAATTTTTAATATGAATCTATCATATCATCCAGTTGTGCGCCTTCCTTTTTTATCGCAGCCAGCAGTACCATATATATATATATAGCACCTCTTTTAACCCGGCTTAAAAGTCCTTATTCGGCCTTTATTTTCGCAATCGTTGGTTGCAGTCATATGGTTCAAGTTATAGAAGTGTTTTAAATGACGAAAATATTTATGTTATGGCAATGTCAATTTTTTTTTTTAAAAATTGCGCCAAATACCGAAATCTATCTATTAATGTCATCTTCCGGCTCCTAGACTTATATTTGGGAAAGTTTCATACTTATCACGAAAAAAATTAAATTCTAAGAAGTTTGTTTTCCGTGCGACAAAAATTGAACCAGGACATTTAATTTCAAAATTCGCAATTTTTGTTATCATATTCAAATTACATTGAGGAATCGGTTAAGTGAGTTAAAATAATTCGAGGAAACGAATTTAAATGAAATCTCTCAAAAAATGTGTATTATTTAATAGGACGTACAAGAAAGTCATGTGGTATCCACATCAGATTTTTAATTATTTGTTTGGTATTCAAACTAGTCATACTATGTATCATACGTATCACACGTATCATATGTATCACACGTATCATAAGTATCATATGTATCATAAGCATCATACCTATGTATAAATATTTTCATATGTATGTGCTTAAGATTTGTTTATTTTTTACCCTCTATCTGTAGCTCCGTTTTTCCTTCTGAACAAATAAATAAGTATGGAAAAGGGGCCCGTTTAGTGCAAAGTTGTGTATTATGTCAATGATTTCCTCTCGTAGGTTACGTTTTTATCTGAACATAATTGAGAATTCAATTATCAAGATTATTTTGCATAAATGATATACTAGAGTAAAGTCTATAAAATTACACAGTTGTAGCATGTTATTTGATGTGCTGTGAAATAGTTTGCTAAATTAAAAATTTATTTACATAGAATTTATTATTTACTATTTATTTTATAGAATTTGGTATTTTATTATTTTAAATTATAAATTTTCGGTTCTTAAGCGCTTTTTAACATCTTTTCTTGACATTAAATAGTAAAAATTTTGAAACACTACTTTGTTTCGAGCAATTGAACCGAAAACTGAACTTTCTTTCTAATTTTAGTGAGAAAGCTTCTCCTTTCATATCCTAGAGCTTCTGTTTTATTTAACTCTTGGCCTTGAAAATCCTGTTTACGTAATTACTAAGCAATTGCTTATTTGAACGATTTATGATTATTATAATCTTGAATGGGTAATGTATTATTTCCTTGAACACTTAACACAGAATTATATGTAAATCTGAAGTAATATTTTCATGATTTTTCCTTGCCTATTAAGCCATTATTCTCTCTTGGTTGGTTAATTTGTTCAAACAAATTAATGGAACATACCTGAACTTGCTGCACGGGTGGATGACCCAATGGCCAGCCGCTTTTTGTCTTATCCTCTCTTTCATAAGCGCTTTTTTGCTACCGAACAGCTTCATAGCCAGTTTGTTATCGGAAGGCTGGAAGAGGGCCTCCAGCTGACTTCGCATGAAGGAGGCCTTCGCCTCGCCGATCACGGGGCCAAGTTCCTCCTTGGGGGTCCCGTACAAGGAATCCCCTTCCGCCTCCTCCTGTAAAATACATAAAGAGAATCGAATTAACAGACTCAAAATTATTTATGTTAAAATATATTTTCTGAATTAACAAAACATTCAGAAATATAAGAACTGTTCGCAAACTAGGTATTCCACACGAAAAATGTAATAAAGGAATTCTGGTTGGGAAAAAAATAACTATTATCTTTTAGAATATATGAAGAATTGTTAAATATCTCTTAAAAATTTGAGAGGAAATATTAATTACTACTATTAATTATTATTAATATCTCTGTTCGCGTTAAGTATGGGTAAACGAATTTCTAATGCTGCTCAAATCTGAAACTAATTATTTTATCTCGTAGAATGATAATCAGATGCATAATTATAAGTTGGCTAAATAAATCATTCTAATTTTAGTGAAAAGTTGCAACGAATGAGACTTCTGAAGCAATTTTTAAATATTGTAGGGATTGTTTTAATTTTCTAATAGTTATTTTTAATTTTGAAACCCTTTCCTTTAAATTCTTGTTTTCCACCTACAACTGGTTGCCAGAATGAGATTTGAATATCGTGTTTTATGTAAATGAAGTAGAATCAGTATTTAATGGGAAGTTCAGTCACTCCCGTACAAGAACTCAGAACTCAGTAGAGCGTGTTCTGCCTTCGGGCCACGTTGTTGCTTTAAACCTATCTTACTACGTACGACCGTAGTCTACGTGCCTGGTGGTGTTCGCCGATGAAGTTTAATTCATGGGTCAACTCGGTTTATCTTTATACAGCTTCGGTTTAAATTTAACTAGTTAGAATTAGTTTAATTTCTTATTTTCTATCTTAAATTAAAGGCTAAGTGGAGGCTTTCCTGTCAGCCCTAGAGGAGCCGTCTGTTAGCATTTCTTTGAGTGAATAAAAAGGTATTTTTTACCTTCTTTGGTTACTTTACCTACTTTATAGTTGTAAGATGACCAGCGAATAGTCGCTAGACACTTCCTTAAGGCTCTAGTAGCCAAGGATACGTAAATTAACTATAAGTTTATAATATGGGATACATAAAATACCATACTGGGCCTATTGTTGTATATTATTTATAGGGATTTACGTAGCATAGTGTAAGACTGCAGAATTTTCCAAGTAATTTCTTAATCTCGATTTTAATAAATTCATGTAGCCCACCAGCGGCCGAGCGGTAACGTCGCTGAACACTGGTAGTTCGGTCCGATGTTCGAATCCCGCGAACGGGCTGGCTGCATGAGTGTTTTCGTGGTTTTTCCCATGTGTAACGTGTATACGAGCCAGTTTCCCTTAAAAAGTCCTCCACGAAGGCATCCCTCCCTTAAGGCAGATAGCCCTTGAGTGCTTTGCCGTAATCTAATAAACCAAACCAATAAATTCATGTAACCTTTAAGTTCCGGGACAAATACAGAACTTTACAGTAATTTTCATGCTTTAAATTGCGCTTATCAGTAAAAATAAATAAATAAATAGAAATTCTTAAAAGATCTGAATGTATTCAGATTTTGATGTCAAACCACAGGGTTTGTTTAAGTTTTTCACTCCTCAAATTACACACCTTTTTCTCGTTTTTATTTATTATTAAACATTACATTCCTCTCACTTACGCCACATAAAATTCTGCAGTTAAATTACCAACTTTTAAAGGCAACGTATCTTCAGAATTCCCAATACAGTGTAATGTGTTGCCATACATTGTCCTATTTTGCTTCATTCTTTCTCAGGTCATCATTTCAGTTGTCTTAACAGAATGGCCCACACATTTTTTTATTATTAAACATTACTTTCTTGGCACTTACGTTACATAAAATTCAACAACAAGATCATAAAACTTTTTAAAACAGCATGTCTTCTTTAGAATTCCCATACAGTGTTAATGTTCTCATAGATTTTTTTAGTCCAGAGGGACTATTGGTCTCTAACCGCGCTTTTCCGTCGAATCAGTTTTGTTGTTCATTTCACTTTTCAACTAATTATCCGCTGCCCCCCACCTGCCTATAATTGTTACGATAAAAAGAAAAATAATTAAATACAATGAGTAATTAATACCAGACATAAAGAAATGCTTTTATTGCTTAGTTTGTTAGTTTGTTAATCAATAACAGACATATTAAATTTAAAGAAATTTAAATACCTTATGCTTCGCCAAGTGGCAAAAAACTCGCGCATGGAAATTAAAAATATTTTACATCGGGCAGTGGTAACATATTTCCTTTAAACACCTGAGTTCTTTTATTAACTTGAAAACAAATATTTCTTATAGTTTGCTGAGTAGCAATATGTTTTGAGAAAGATATAACTAAAAAAAGTGAGGTTCGAGACTAATAACACTCTGGTGTTAAAAAGTACTGTTTTGAATGAAAGATTGCGAAAAGATTATTTAACACGTATACTGCACTAGTAAATGGCTATAATAGCAAAACATTTGAAACTAGCTATAATACTACCGAAGACTTAGATATTGCTATCGTACTGTGTTCATGCCATGTTCATAAAGAAATAATAATAGTGGAAAACACACATTAGTAACAAAAAGCCGGCGCAGCCCTACTGTAATATCACAGTAGTGTTTACACACTTTTTAAACGATTTCAATTAAGAATTTAGGGAAAAAAGCAAATATCTTGGAATAAAAACCTTCTGGCAGCAGCTTATTATTTGAAATGAGAAATGTCGTCTTCTACTTTTAAATTTACTCTTTTTTCGAAATGTCGCATGTAAATAAGCCGTGGATTAAAGGATATGTTTCTGTACTTTCCGAAGAGAAATGCTCCTATTCCATAGTTCAGAAATGTTGTGAAATGCATGGTATTAAAGCTTCAAAGTGCAAAGGAAGCAACATTAACATTGGTTAATCGGGGAAAGAAACAGAAACCGTCAATCATTGATTAAACGTGGAAAGAAGGTTCCAAACGAATACCCGAAAAAGGTACATTGTGAAAAAAAATGGGACAGTTCTATATCTCCTGTTCTACTGGGACGATTGACAAAATTCAAATTGCGTTTTCATATCTCGACAGCGTGACTTAAAATATGTATTAGATTTATATATAGCGTTGTCCTAATATAGGTATTTTGACACAAAATCGGACTTTTTCTGAAATAACATACGAATTTTTTCTATATTTAGATTCTACGACTCAAATTACGCCAAACTACCAAGTTTTGTAAAAAACGTACGAGTAGTTTTTAAAAAAATAGCTCTCAAAATTTTAGCTCTTTAATGTTTATTGAGTTTGGTATATATTTATTAATTTCTCTTTTTTTATTAAACTTATTTGATTCTTCCTTTAACATTTCAAAATTTAGGTTCATTCCAAATAAAATTCATCCATTTTTATGATTTATTTTTAAAGCTTGTATTCTTTAATAATTTTTATAAATTTTTCGAAAACAATTTTAAATTATAATCTATAAAATTTTTACCATCATCTTAAAGTAGATGTATTTCTAAGCATACGTGCAAAAATTACAATTTTTTATTCAAAATTTCTGAAGATATACGTGAATTTATATATTGGCGCGTTTTGAAATTTGGCATATTTGTTGAAAGCGATAAAATATCAAATGTGTTTTAGACACTTTGCTAAAATTATTTGGAAGTAGAAACGATGTGACTTTTATTCCGCTCATGCACAATGTAAAAAGGTAGGAATAAGGTGCTTTTTTTCCCGTTCCAACATAATGGAAGGGAAAGGTAAATTGTTGCCACATTTTAAAAGGTTCGCCAAGTGAATTATTCTTGGCGCAAATTAAAAACATTGCGCCAAGATAAATTTTTGACTTTCTCCATGAATTTCGCACCAAATTGTACAAAATTTAATATTTAGGCATAATTTGAATCGTAGAATCGAAATATGGGGAAAAAATTGGTATGTTATTTCAGAAAAAGTCCAATTTAGAGTCAGAATACTAATGTTAGAACAGTGCTACATATAAAACTAATATATATCCTAAGTCACGCTTTCGAGACATGAAAAACGCAATTTTAATTTTGTCAATCGGCCCAATAGAACGGGAGATATAGAACTGTCCTTTTTTTTTTTTTTTTCTTTCGCAGTAAGACCTTTTTAATCACTGGTACATTGAATTAAACATTGTTAACAAGCCACACTATTGGCCACTTTTGCCTCCTATGAAGGTACAGACAATTACATCTATGCCTTCTCCAGGATTCGATCTCTGGCATTTCGGTTTCGCAGTCAGGCTCCCCTAACCACTATACCTTCTGGGCGGTTCCCAATTCAGATTTATACTGAAGAAAAATGGCTCTCAAATCGAACATTTGAAAAAATATGCTTTATATTTTAAATATTAATTAACTGGTCCCGAAATCGTTCTAAAATGTGTAAACACTCTTTATAACATAAATCAGTGGAAAATATAACTTAAAGTCCTGTTGTGTCATATATTTAAGTTAAAGAGAAAATTAAAAACTCTTAAATAAATGAACAACAAGCTCATGTTTAATTGGCTCTAAAAAACAAGAAGCGGTACGGATAATTAAAGTTCAGATAACATGCATTCTATTCAGCATCTGAAACATTACAGTTGACTACTATAATCAACGTTCTGAACAGCGAGAAGACTTCTAAAGTAGTCCAAGAATCTTAAGGCGAATTTCTGCCGGTGAATATATTTTAGCATTGCCTGGACACTTTTCCCGCAGTTAGGGAAGTCTTTGTTGAGCTTTATTAAAAGCTCGGTTTTGTTTTATGATTTTCGATTTTGATAATATGAATTTTTGCGTAAAATCTGCTATCTAAAAACTTCAGATTGCACTCTAATACCACGAAAGATTTAGTATTAAAGTTTCAAATAAATAAATAAAATTTAATGAAAATTCTTTTAAATTTATAAGATTAAAAAGAAACAGCAATTTGATCTTTCACGTAGACTTTAACTGGACATTTACATAATTTCAAGCTAAGTAAGCTGAGCAATTAAGATAGATACTAATTTAGGAATTTGTCCCCTAGGAAATAAATTTATAAAACATAAAATCTGATATGTAAACTTA